TTTCTGGCACCCGCACAAGCGCCATATTGTAAGCGCGTTTATTAAGGCGACGGCAAGCGAGCGCGAGCCAATGCATTTAGATTAAAAGGTCGTTTAAACTTCTACCTGATGGCAACTAACGCGCATATGTGTGCATAGAACAAATACACATCCAGGAGTTATGAATAACAGAGAGGTTGAACAGAGTGAACAGGAGAGCTAGCTTGTTGAAAAGCTAGTTGAGCAGAACAGCGTAGAGGATAACTTGACAGGTGAACAGCTTTGTGAACGGGAAAGTCCGTGAGTCGAATGATCAGTAGAAAGTATGCACAGCTGACAAAATAATAGCTTTGTGAGCAAGAGAATAACTCGCTTAAGTTGCGTAGAACATAGAGAAGAACTCCGTAGTAAATAGGAAAATTAGAGCGTATGTACAAGAACGACGTAGCGAATAACTCCCTCGTTTACGCATAAGGAAGAAGAACAGGGGAATAACTAACTCGTTAAAGTTACGAACATCAGACAGAAGAACAGCTTTGTATATGAGAATCAAAGCGTCGACTAACTAACAGAACTTATGTACAACAGACGGAAGAAAATCCGTAGGGATTAACATGCTCGTCAGTAAGTTTATCAGAAGAACAGGAGAACAACTCGCTGAATTTACGTAGAACAGACCAAAGACCAGCATTGTGAAGAAGGAAACATAAACTAACATAACATAAACATAACATAAATTACGTACAACAGACAAATATAAACCCGTAGCGAATATCTTGCTCGTTAATGAGTTTATGAGAAGAACAGCTCTGTGAACAGGAGACAAACTCGCTAAATTTACGTAGAACAGACCTAAGATCAACTCTGAGAAGAAGGAACACAGCGCGTCGAGTGAGAGAAACCTGTAGTGAATAACTTCCCCGTTCATTTTATAAGAACAAGCCTTATTCGCGAGAGAAAAGACTCACCTCTTAGCTTTTGTTATAAGAGTATAACAAAAGCTAAGAGGTGGACGAGCTTTCCCAATGCAGAGAGAACCACAGCTTCTTCGAGGCTTCGTGCAGGGCCCTCGGGGGGAAAGCACGCGGCGCCCCGGGACTTGTTTACACGCGGAGAGGAAAGTATGTCGGGTTGTCTCGGAGACGGACCGGGAATGGGGGAGGAGAGAATACCTGTGTGTGTGTGTGGGGGGGGGAAAGTGGGGGACTGGAGGACAGAGGGAGGGGGGGATTGGGGGGGGGAAGTGGGTGGGGGATTGGTGGACAGAGGGAGAGGGGGATTGGTGGGGGAAAGGAGGTGGGGGACTGCACAGGGATCACCGCACAGGGATCTTTTGCCAAATCAACAAAGGGATTGGAATCGGTTTCAGAGAAAGCTATCAATGTTTATAAGGTCAAGAAATGTTACTCTTACGTGCAGCTGTGTATATATATATATATATATATATATATATATATATATATATATATATATATATATAGATAGATAGATAGATAGATAGATAGATAGATATTTGTGTGTGTGTGTGTGTATGTTTGTTTGTGTGTATGTGTGTGTGTGTGTTTTGTTTGTTTGTTTGTTTGTTGTGTGTGT